ACCATGGCTCTTAATTGATCTTTATTTAAAACAGATTTGGGTCTGCCTTGAGGTTCATTTTTCAGACTCACATTTCCAGAATAAAATTTTTCAAACCACCAGCGTATAGTCTTTTCACTAACAGAGCCTTCTCCAAAGACAGAATTGATGTTTTTTACTTGGTATGGCTGCACTATATCCTAGTTTAAATTCATATAAAAACAGTATTCACAAATATTTCAAAGATATCGTACTATTCACTTATGTAAAAGGTGATGATTTCTCTGAGTGTTTTACTTGTCCCACCCTGTGGGACAAGATTTACATGCAGCAGTCACCTGTTGGTCACACTCAGTGCATGACTTGACCAACTTCACTTTCTTGGTGTGAGTTGAAGACTTGGTCATCTTTAGCGGCGGTGACGGTGGCAGCAGCAGCAACTTGGGCTCCTTTAAGCCTAGCTAGTATTCTTATGGCTGTTGTTCTAAATTCTTGTTTAGATACAATGCTTATATCTGTTTGGAGCAAATCCCTGGCTGTGATTTCTTCTTGATCTTTGTTTTGGAGAGATTCCTTCCATCTTGTCATTATGTCTAGGTTTCTGTCTTTTGCATTTTGAAAGCTTGTTATGTTTCCTGCTCCGTAGCGTGGGACTATATTAAGGGTTCATACACTGACTAGGGCCTGGTGCTTCAGGAAATGTTTCCAGTGTGTGCTGTGTGCACTCAGCCATTGTGTTTTGGCTGCTATTTCCCACAGGTCAGTCCTCTGCAGAGCTCCTCCTTGTGTCCAGTGGGGAGTGTTTGGACCTTTATGTAGGTGTGCTTTTATTTGTTTGATAAGGTAAGCCTGATTTAAAAAAAATAAAGAAGAAGAACCCTGATCCAAGAAAAGAGTAAAGGAAAAAGAACAAAACAACAAAGAAACAAAAAATTGTAAGCCTGATTCCAAAGAAAAAGAAAGGAAGAAGGAATAAAGAAAGAAAAGAAGCCTGAATCAAAAAATTAAAAAAGTCAACAAGTAAAACAACAATTGAACAAAAAACTATAAGCCTGTTTTGAAAGACAAAAAAAAAAAAGTAAAATTTTTAAAAATTTAAAAATAATTTAAAAAAGAAAGTCTGGTCCTATTTCCACCAGAACTAAAGCTGATGCTTTGGAGTACTCTCTGATCAGTAGACTTGGTACATGCAGAGGACCTGTGTTGGTCTTCTGAGGGAGAGGCCGGCTGCACTGGCTCACAGACAGACCTGCCTTACTATGGGTGCCCTGGCCTGGTGCAGGGGCATGGGGTTTGGTGTAAGCAACTTCAGTCTCCACTGGAGGTGCTGTGTTTTTCTCTCTGAAGTCGGACCTTGCTGGTAGGAGCTGGGGTGGAAGATGGTGTCACCCACCTTCTCAACCTGGGGGTGGGGGGGAATTCACAGCTGCTGCTGTTCGGGAGGCCCTCACAGAAAAGCAAACAATCTCCCCTCCTTTGTTCCAGGCTTTTTTCAGATACCTGAACTGAAAGCAGTTCTGTGTTTTATCTCTGGCCAGTGGCTGGGATTCAAAATTCCAAATCTTAAGTGACCTGGCAAGGTGCAGGCCCGCTGCCCTTCCCTAGAGGAGAGGCTTACAGCACTGCGTCCAGCACCATTCTGCCCCATAAAAGCAGTCCCACTGCTGCGCCGGTGTCCAGAGTATGTGGTGAAGCACAGCAAAAAGTTGTCCCCTGCTGTTTAATGGCTGCTCTATGGCTCCTGGTATATATATGGCTCCTTTTGTCTTTGGAGAGGCAATATACACTCTTGCAAATGTACCACAGGAAGGGGAGCGTTCTCTCTCAGTGTGACCCAGGGGATCCCCACTCCACAGTGTTTTGCAGGAACCCTACCATTCTCTCCGCTCTCTCTCTCTCTCTCCTTAACCTCTCTCTGCGAAAAGGGCTTCCTCCTCTCAGAGGCACTGCAGCTTTTCTCTTTCTCAGTTCATGTCTGCTTTTCTCTTTCTCAGTTCATGTCTACGAACCTCTTATCTGCCACATTCTCTTCCTCCAATTGTGCAGATTGTTTGCTTAATCCTTAGATCGATTTCCTGGTTGTTCAAAATGACGTGATGTTGATCTAGCTCTGTTCAGGGGATGAGGCGAGCTTAAGAGTCCCCCTACTACTCTGCCACCATAACTCTCTGGGTGGTATCTTCTAATTGACAAAATTTATTTGGCAAATGAGAGAAAATCTACTTGTGAGCATATTCTACGTAGACTTCTCAGTATTATCTTACCTTGTCGCCCAGTACAAGAAGTACAAATACTATGTTTGTGGAATGCTCTTGGTAATTTGACTAGGCTGGGATTAGAGAGCTGTGTTCTGCTGCTATACATTACCTTAGAGCTGCTTAACTTTCTGAATTAGCCTGCTTTCTGGTTACAAGGGTTGGCTGCTTTCCTTGACCCCCTTTTCCATGTAGATAGTACATAAGAAAATTGTTTCTGAGGAGAACTGTTTTTTCTCTTAAAGTCTTAAACTACATCGTTGTTGATTATTTGGTTTGTTTTCAAGAAAACTGCCCCAAATCCAGGGATATCTTAGACTGTATTAAGGAATCTATTGCATTTAAAAATAAGGAAGCAGACAGTCCGGACCAGTTTTACACTTGTCAGACCACTCATAGAATACTGCACTCAGTGTAGGACACTATTTTATGAAATAAAGATGGTGTAGACTCCTGTCTATTTTATATGGCCAACAGATGAAGAATCCAAACAGGTCTGCTAAGTATCAAAAGAGAAGCCTCAGCGGAAATCAGTCACTGTCTTCATGTATTAGGTGGTCTGTTTATGGAAGGGAATTGTCTGTCATTTCAGAAGGCATAAATAAGACCAACGGCTAGAAAATTGTTAATTCAGTGAAATGTCCTTTGATAAAGGACTCTGTCATCAAACAAATATGACAAATGTATGTATCATATTTCTGTTCTAGAATTTTGCAGATACAGATTAAATACATGTTAGGGTCCCTAAAAAGTCATGCAGTGAAACATCTTGTTAAATTTGTTAATGCCAACATTCCATTGTAGTTAGACCAGCAGCACCAGCATTACCTGGAAATGTATTAGAATTGTATCTTTCGGGGCGCCTGGGTGGCTCAGTGGGTTAAAGCCTCTGCCTTCAGCTTAGGTCATGATCTCAGGGTCCTGGGATCGAGCCCCACATCTGGCTCTCTGCTCAGCGGGGAGCCTGTCTCCCCCACCCCTCTGCCTACTTGTGATTTCTGTCTGTCAAATAAATAAATAAAATCTTAAAAAAAAAAGAAATGTATCTTTCTTAGCTCTACCCCAAACCTATAGAATCAGAAACTCTGGGAGCTGGGCCCAGTAACCTCAGTGATAATAAGTCCTCAAGGGGATTCTGATGCTGCAAATGTGAGAAGTACTGCCAGAAAATTTCTCTGTTTTATTTTTCCAATTCAGCAGCACCCTTTTCATTTCTTTTGTACTACTTGCCACAGTTTTTGTTTTTTACAATTTCTTCTAATGATATTCTTTGACTCAGCAGTTCATTTTTATAGATAGTTATCCTTCTGTGGTATAGAAAGAAGGAAACTCTTATGAAAGGCTTACCATAGTTTTCAGCCTAATGTAGGTGCCATCCAGGTGGTTTGGATACTGTAAAGAATCCTAAGTAATGAATCCATACCTTCTATGAAGTGAAATACTCATTTCTCTGAGGTAAACCTTAAGTTCATTGGTATTGTTGCCATTTTTAAAAGAACACTTATTGTTTTTCATTTACTTTAAAATGTTCTTTGTGAAATGTAGACTTTAACATCTTAAAATAATCTGTAATGTGCCCTTTCTTTTGTTAAAAATCAATAAGATTAGAGACTTTTCTGATTTCCTTGCATTAGCAGAGATTAAGTTCTTGTAGCATTGTATTTATCTATACAAAGAAGTATGAATGGCACTTTCAGAACAATGAAATTACAGTTTATAAAATGATTATGTAAAAAATAATTCCCCATAGGTGTACCTATAACTAGTGCCTTATTTTTTTCAGGGGGTATCATAAATGTGTATTTTGAGTGTTTATATGAAATGCTTCTATAAGTCATATGGAAGAATTTTCTTTTTCTATAGGACAGTGAAATTGGGTTGATTTATTAAAATATCACAATATATTTAACTTAAATGTATTTGGGACAAAAGTATTAGTGTTCCTTGGAATGAATTATGGCCAAATTCATCTAAATTTCTTTTTTTTTTGTTTTGTTTTCTTTTTATTTTATTTTATTTATTTTCAGCATAACAGTATTCATTCTAAATTTCTTGATACTGTTTTGTCAGCTTTTCTTTTCATACAAGTAAGGGTTCCCTGGTATTACTAGGGCAGTTTGAACTTTATTTTTATTTAGGGGGACAGAGACTGGTAGTCTGGAGATTGGATTTTGATTTGGTTGCTGGTGTCCAACAGCACAATGCCTGGATGCATCCACTTACAACACCGGGTATAAGTGGTGCACTATTACTATATTTAGACACCGATGGTTAGGGGCACCTGGGTGGCTCAGTGGGTTAAAGCCCCTGCCTTCGGCTGAGGTCATGATCTCAGGGTCCTGGGATCGAGCCCCACATCGGGCTCTCTGCTTAGCAGGGAGCCTGCTTCCCCGCCTCTCTCTGCCTGCCTCTCTGCCTACTTGTGATCTCCGCCTATCAAATAAATAAATAAAATATTAAAAAATAAATAAATAAACACCAATGGTTGGTAGAATGTGCTAAAGTCTGAATCTAACCACGAATTATGTCCCTGTCCCTGTCCTTGCCCAGGGCAACTGCTACTGTGAAAGGACATGCTCACAAGAGGAGGAGGGCAGCAGAGGTGGTGGTTTGGAGTTAATGTTACATCGTTGCTGACTCAGGGGAAGAGGTTGAGGATGTTGGCCGTGGTTTCTAAAGAGCACCTAGCAGTTGTCACCTTGTGCATTAAGCTTCTGCATGTTTCTCAAATTATAATTTTATGCTTATGATTTTATCTCTTCTTAGTTTTCCTCACAGGAGAAAAAGCCAATTCAGTATTGAAACGCTACCCAAGAGCGAATGGACTTTTTGAAGAAATAAGACAGGGCAACATTGATCGTGAGTGCAAGGAAGAAATCTGCACATTTGAAGAAGCAAGAGAAGCTTTTGAAAATACGGAGAAAACCGTAAGTATCTTGGCAGTTTTTAAGAAACGTTCACAGCTTTGCCTACCTTTTGGATGTGGGTTTGCAATCTGCATTCCCGAATTGTGGGCACTGCTATCAGTTACAGATCGATCCCAAATTACATTTGCGAAGAACTCTGGAATGGCATCGAGGTAAGGATACTCTGTGGATGGGAGGCGGGTTCACTTCCCCGTGTGTTGGTCTGTCTTTGAGGGCCCCTGTTTCCCCAGGACCCTGCTGAGCTGAGACTGATCATCCTAGCAAGGGGGGAGGGCTTGTGTCACATGAGGCTGTGATGGGGAAAGTCACCGTATCATCACCTTACTCTGCCACATCAGTGAGAAAGTGTGGAGGAACCTAATACATACTGACACTGTTTTAAAATCTCTCACTTCTTGGGGCGTCGGGGTGGTTCAGTTGGTTAAGTGTCCAGCTCTTGGATTTCAGTTCAGGTCATGATCTCAGGGTCCTGGGATTGAGCCCACATCAGGCTCCACACTCAGCAGGGAGTCTGCTTAAGGATTCTGTCTCCCCCTCTGCCCCTCCTCCACGCTCTCTCTCTCTAAAATAAATCTTTAAAAAATATCTTTTACTTCATGTACAAAAGAGAACATATCCATATTCAAACTCCCTACCCCACTCTGAAGAATACTCCTTACTTCTTTTTACTCTAGATGGCATGCTATTCAAGGAGAGCAGGAATGGGAAAGCAAAAGGCAGTGGTATAAATTCTGTGGCACTGCTCTGCAGTTGAAAATGGCATTACCAGGGGTAGCCATTATATAAAGATCCATTTTTGTGCACTGACCAAGAAAGTAACACTAGGTGCTAAACACGTGATGTCAGATGTGCTTAGCGGGATATCAATTGTGTCTCAGAAGCAGCCAATATAGCAGTTTTGAAGAAAAGGGTTTGTTTGCTTTTAAAGATTTATTTATTTATTAGAGAGAGAGAGAGAGAGAGAGAGACTATGAGTGGGGGGAGGGGCAGAGGGAGAGAGAATCTCAAGCAGACTGCTTGCTATGGAGCCCAGCCCAGGGTTTGATCCCACAACTCATGAGATCACAAGTTGGATACTTAACCCACTGAGCCACCCAGGTGCCCCAGAGAAAGGGGTTCTGATCTTTTGTTAGGTAGAAAAGGACCCAGAAGTTACGAGGAAGGAGTTCGAGGAGAGAGGATCAGGGAAGCACCATCATTGGATTCCAGTGTGCAAAGCAGAAGCAAAGTCAGTGTATAAATTGATAAGCTGTGAGCATCAGTTTTTATATTTGTACTTATTTTTTATTGATGTATAATTGACATACTCTGTTAGTTTCAGGTATACACCATAGCAACCGGACAGTTGCATACATTACTTAATGGTCACCACCATAGTAGGCATCTTCTGTCACCATACAGTGTTGTCACAGTATTACTGGCTGTATTCCCTCTGCTGTACTTTTTATCACTGTGACTTAGTTTATATCTGGAAGTTTGTGCCTCTTAATCCTTTTTATCTATTTTGCTCATCCCCCATCTACCTCCCCTCTGGCAACCACCAGTTTGTTGTCCATATTTAGGGTCTGTTTGCTTGTTTTTCAGGTTCCACGTATAAGTGAAATCATACAGTGTTTATCTTTCTCTGCCTCATTTATTTCACTTAGTTCAATACCGTCTAGGCCTGTTCATGTTGTTGCAAATGACAAGATCGCATTCTGGCTTATGGCTGAGTAGTATTCCACTGTGTGTGTGTATACCACATCTTCTTTGTCTTTTTAAATTTTTATTGTATTATGTTAGTCACCATAAAATACATCATTACTTATCTGTTTGTTTATCCTTGAACACTTAGGTGGCTTCTGTATCTTGGCTACTGTAAATGATGTTATAGTAAACATTGGCATGCATATATCTTTTTGTATTAGGGTTTTTGTGTTCTTTGGGTAAACACCCAGTAGTGGAATTACTGGGTCATATGATATTTCTTGCTTAATTTTTTTTAAAAGATTTTATGTGAGAGAGACAGAGTACGAGTAGGGGAAGGAGGTGGAGACCGAGGAAGAGGGAGAAGCAGACTTCCCACAGAGCAGGAAGCCTGACGTGGGGCTCCAACCTAGGACCCTAAGTTCATGACCTGAGCCAAAGGCAGATGCTTAATTGACTGAACCACCTAGGAGCCCCCTGTTTTTAATTTTTTGAGGAGCCTCTATACTGTTTTCCACAGTGGTTGCACCAGTTTACATTTCCACCAACAGTGCATGAGGCTTTCTTCTCTCCACATCCTTTGAAAACATTATTTCTTGTCTTGTGGATACTAGCCGATCTGACAGCTATGTGGTGATACCTCATTGTGGTTACGATTTGCATTTCCCTTATGATGAGTGATGTTGGGCATCTTTTCATGTCTCTATTGGCCATCTGGATGTCTTTTTTTGGCAAAATGCTTTTTCAGGTTCTCAGCCCATTTTTAAAATTTGATTATGTGTTTGTTTAAAGTGGTTTTTATTTTTTTATTTTAAATTAAATTTATTTATTTCTTTAGTGACAGAGTTGGGGGAGGGACAGAGGGGGGAGAGAAGACTGCACTGAGCATGAAACCTGACTCAGGGCTCAGTCTTATGACCCTGAGATCATGATCTCTGCCAAAATCAAAGTCGGATGTTTAACTAACAACGGAGCCCCCCCCAGGTACCCCTAAAGTATTTTTTAAATTTTAAATCCCACAGTTATAAATGAAAAAAAAATCATCTCCAGTCCTGTCATGCAATCACAAAGCACTGTTGGCCTTTTAGTTTCTTTCTAGCTATTTTGCCGTGCACCTGCTTAGTTCTCATTTGTTTTATTTTACACGTTTTTATTTTTCTTCTTATGAAATTAATATATGGTCATTATAGAGAAATTTAAACTATAGTAAAACAGGAATAAAATCATTTCAATTTTTAGCACTGTCAGTTTTCAAATTTTGGCATATATTATTCTAGCCTATTTTTAATATATAGATAATTTTTAAATAACAGTAAGATTGTAGTATAAATAGTGCTTTATAGCATGCAGCCTTTAATAAAATCTGGTTCGTGTTTTTCAAACAAGCAAAGCTTAGTTTTTGATATTACCTTTTTTCAAAAAATACAAATTTTAGATATTCTACCACCATTTTCATAAAGCTAATGACTTTTCTTCCTGCTTTATCATTCTTCTGTAATGGAAAGGTAAGAAGTTTAGTGGGAAGATATTTTGAAATTATGTAAATCTTCTATTCTTCATCAGCCTATTACTCAGTAGTTTTAACATCTATTGATGGTTCTTGACCAAATCAATAAAATCATAGTTGCTAAATGGTGATTTCTAACTCCATCATATGTACATTTATTGGCTGGCATTCCACTATAGGCAGGAATTTTCCCATTATCTAGCTGTCTGTCTGTCTATCTGTCTAGCTATCTTTTAGTACAGACTCAAAGATTACTTTATAACAATGAACTGTAATCTCTTACTGTCACTGTTTTGATCAGATTGTCCCAAATTTGGCTAATGGAAGTTTCTTTAATTTCAAACTGGTTTCTCTGTCTTTTTGACATTATCATTTTATTTACTTATTTTTTTTTTATTTGAGAGAGAGCACATGCATGTGCACACAGTGAGGGGAGAGAGAGAGGGAGAATCTTAGGCAGGCTGCACACCCAGAGCAAAGTCTGACTTGGAGCTTGATCTCACAACCCTGAGGTCTTGACCTGAGCTGAAATTGAGTCAGACGCTTAACTCACGGAGCCACTCAGGCATCCCTGCTTATGGCTTTTTTTAAATGCAATTTTTTTTTAGGTAGGCTCCACACACAATGTGGGGTTAGAAATTTCAACCCTGGGATCAAGAGTTAGATACTCTACTGAATAAGCCACCCAGGTGTCCCTGCAAGTGTTTTTTCCATTTTTATTGTAGCCATAAATTAAATACATTTAATTGAATGTGGATTTTTTTTCATAGTGGAAAAGCCTTCTACACCATAGTTAGAGAGGAATTCACACAGTTTCTTCTCATATACTTGAGTTTTTACATTTAGATCTCTGATTCACTCACTAGTTTATTCTTTTTTTTTTTAAGATTTTATTTATTTATTTGACAGAGATCACAGGTAGGCAGAGAGGCAGGCAGAGAGAGAGAGGAGGAAGCAGGCTCCCTGCTGAGCAGAGAGCCCGATGTGGGGCTAGATCCCGGGACCCTGGGACCATGACCTGAGCTGAAGGCAGAGGCTTTAACCCACTGAGCCACCCAGGCGCCCCTCACTAGTTTATTCTTGAGTATAGTGTGAGTTATGGATATGATTTTTTTTCACATGGCTATAGAGTTGTCCAAAGACCATTTCTTAAAAAAAATCCCTCTTTGCTTCAGTGATTTTTCGTTGCCCTTATGCATCTTAGTGCTTGGCTGTATCTTCCCGCCCACAGAGATAGGATGCTGCATTTCAGCAGTCTCTGAAGCAAAGAGAAGAAACTCCTTCAGCAGTTGCTCAAGCAGTTCTCCGTCCTCTCCAGCATCACCTTTCTTCTCTGTAGATTCATTCTCATTAGTCTACACACCTTTAAAAAGAACTCCCTTCACCCCTCATCCCGCTCCAACAACTACCTCATATCTTGAAACTCTGTTCTGTCTGTACTCAGCTCCCCTGGTGAGGCTTCCCAGTGCCATGGTTTGGAAGGCTAACGATCCAAATTTATATCGTGGAGGGCCACCCTGAACTGCAGAACTGTGTGACTCACTGCTTACTCAGCATCTCCTCCAGGATTTGAATACATTTCTTAAAGTCAGCATAAAAAATTCATGTCCCTTCCGCCGAAATCTGCTTCTGCCACAGCCCTCCTGATTTCAGTGAGTGGTAACTCTGTCTGTCCATCTCTTTGCTAAGCCCCCAAACCTTGTTGTCATCCCTGACTCTTCTCTGTTTCACATGCACATCCCATCTGCTGATAGTGTTGATTCTAACATGAAAATGTATTCAGAATCTAACCACCTTTCACCTCTCT